CACCTGCAAGAACCACCGCGTGAACCGCGTCGTGTTCCTGGGGAGCACCAAGCGGCTGCTGACCACGGGCGTCTCGCGCTGGAACACGCGGCAGATCGCGCTCTGGGACCAGGTGAGCGGCCGCGGCGTCGCACGGGGCGGCTTGTGGCGCATCCCTCGGGACATCCCGCGGGGCATCCTTTGTGCCATCCTTTAGGGCATCCCTTGGAGCATTCTGGGCACCATCCCTGGGGCATCCCGGCTCTTTGGGGCACTCTGCCATGTGAAGTGTCGCCCTTGCAGGCACGTTGGGATGGAGACAGTAACACCCCAGGCTCTGATGCTGCTCCCTCCCCGTCGTGCAATGCCCATAGCCAAGGAAATCACCCCAAAAGCAGCCGTTTCAGTCTCTTCCCCAGCTCGGGGCCATACGGGGTTCATGAGGGCCCCACCATGAGCCCAGGGTGGCTGAAACGCTCTTTCCGCTGCGCAGGAAGACCTGTCCATGCCGCTCATCGAGGAGGAGGACGACGGGCTCTCGGGCCTCCTCTTCCCCTTCTACGACGCTGACACACACATGCTCTACCTGGCCGGCAAGGTAGGTCGGCCCCACGCGGGGACGGGAGCAAATGGAACAACCCCAGTTTGCGAATTCCCCCCGGGTTTTATCGCCCCGGGTTGCGTGGGGGCGGCCGGCGCGAGCGGCTGCTCCGTCGCGAGCTCCGCGCTGAGCATCCCGGCGCCGCAGGGCGACGGCAACATCCGCTACTACGAGATCGGCTCCGAGAAGCCCTACCTGAGCTATCTCATGGAGTTCCGCTCGCCGGCGCCGCAGAAGGGCCTGGGTAAGGCTCCGCTCCCAGCAATGTCCCCAGCCCCGGCCCGCGGAATTTCCCCGGCTCCTGCCGCTTTTCCCGGCTCTCGCTCCCTTCTCGCCCCGCTCACGCCGCCGCGCTGCCGCAGGTGTGATGCCCAAGCACGGGCTGGACGTGTCGGCCTGCGAGGTTTTCCGCTTCTACAAGCTCGTCACCCTCAAGGGGCTCATCGAGCCCATCTCCATGATCGTGCCGCGGAGGGTGAGCGCTGCGGGGATGGGACGCGGCGGGGGTGGCGCGAGGGGCGGCCGTGGGACCCCTGAGCACGTGGGAATGGTGATTTTTTACTCCGTGCACTTGAAACATGGGGTTTGTGCATTGCTCCTCCTGCTCCGGGCCATGGGAACGGGCAGCACGGGAGTGCATCCCGCCTGGGATTGCCCGGGATTGTCTGGGATCACCTGGGATGGCAGCGCTGGGTCTGCTGGAACCTGCCCATCTCCGGGCCGGGCTCTCGGATACTGAGCTGCAGCCGGTGCATCGTGTCGGCTCTTCCCACCTGCGGATCCAGCGTGTCCCGGGATGTCCCTGTTTTGTTCCTTTGCACAAGCACTGCGAGCCCGGCCGCCGTTCCCGGTGGGAGCGCGGGCGGCTTATGGAGGCGCCCGCCTTGCTCTCCCCGTGCTTGCAGTCGGAAACCTACCAGGAGGACATTTACCCCATGACGCCGGGCATGGAGCCGGCCCTGACGCCGGACGAGTGGCTGAGCGGCATGAACAGAGGTAGCGGGGGCTGCATGCGGGACACGAAACGGCCAGGGAGAGATGCGGAGCACTGGGGTGTGATGTGGGGCAAGGGGATGGGATGCTGAGCAAGGGGATGGGATGCGGAGCACTGGGATGTGATGCTGAGAACTGGGATGTGATGCTGAGCATGGGGATGTGATGCTGAGAACGGGGATGGGATGCTGAGAACTGGAGTATGATACTGAGCGTGGAGTGATGCTGAGTATGGGAAATGATGCTGAACACTGGGAAGTGATGCTGAGCACTGGGATGTGATGCTGAGCACTGGGATGTGATGCTGAGCTTGGGGATGCGATGCTGAGCACTGGGATGTGATGCTGGTCATTGGGATGTGATGCTGAGCTTGGGGATGTGATGCTGAGCGCTGGGATGTGATGCTGGTCACTGGGATGTGATTCTGAGTGCTGGGATGTGATGCTCAGCATTGGGATATGATGCTGAGCTTGGGGATGTCATGCTGAGCGCTGGGATGTGATGCTGATCATTGGGATGTGATGCTGGTCACTGGGATGTGATGCTGAGCGCTGGGATGTGATGCTGGTCACTAGGATGTGATGCTGGTCATTGGGATATGATGCTGAGCTTGGGGATGTCATGCTGAGCGCTGGGATGTGATGCTGGTCACTGGAATGTGATGCTGGTCATTGGGATGTGATGCTGAGCGCTGGGATGTGATGCTGGTCACTGGGATGTGATTCTGAGTGCGGGCCCGGGGCAGCGCCCGCGGCGCCGCCGTCCCCAGCGCTCCCGGCAGCTCCGTCTCCTTTCCCCAAGCTGCTCCGCATGTTCTTCCGTCAGCAAGACGAGATCCGCCGGCTGAAGGACGAGCTCGCGCAGAAGGACATCCGCATCCGGCAGCTCCAGCTGGAGCTCAAGAACTTGTGCAACAGCCCCAGGAACACTTAACTTCCCAGGACGTTTTCTAAATAAACTCTCCTTGTTTATACTCGCTCTTTAATTTTGTCGTACCCACTCACACAGACCGTGAGCCAGAAGTCGAGCGACCTGCCAAGAGGCCACACGCTAACTGGAAATACGTCCTTGTAGTCTTGTCTAGCACTAAAAAGGCTCCGCGCTGTAACTGGAAGCAACTGCATGAAGGGAAACCGGGGCAGGACGGGCGCCCCGGCCTCTTCCTTGGAGTAAGTAAAAGAGCACCGTGTCCTTGCACAGCACTGACCGCCGGGGTGCCGCTTCGGAGACCCCGGCAAGGCCAAACGCGGCAGGTTTATCTCTCCTTACCCTTTTTTCCTATGCAAACCGCGGCGGCGAATGCCCGGGGCCGGAGCTGGGAGCGCGTTTGCAGAGCGGGCTGCGGTTTGCAAGCGCACGCACCGGCGCATGGACGCGCTGCGGGCGCAGCTCCCGGGCTGGATCCGGAGCCGTCACCGCTGCTCCGGGCCGGGAGCTGCTCCCGCATCATCTCTTAATAAAACAATGCAAGGAAAAAGCCCCCGGGCGCGTGCAACCGCCTCCCTGTGAATCGGGCCTGTCACACGGGGAAAGACACCAAATACTGCTCGTTTGCCTATATATATGTTGTGTTTATCTCTCTCCGTGTGTATATTTTCACGTGACTGGAGCTGTCGGTGCCTGGCGCCCCGGGACAGCCGTCCCTCCGGTTTGCGCGGCGCCCGGCACGTCCCGCTCTGCCGTCCCCGCGTGCTGCCACCGGCTCTTATTTATGCTGCCGCGAAATAACGCTGAAATAAAAACGTTTCCAAGAGAGCAGACCGTGCGCGTGGCCCGGCTCTTTGTGCGCGTGGGGAGGCCGCTGCAATTAGCGCCTCCTGCAAACGAGGGGCTGGGGAGGGATGGGGGTCCTCGGCGTGCACGCTGCATTGAGGACCCCAGGAGCAGCCCCTTGGCTTTAATCTGCTTCTCCCCTTGGTTGCTTTTTTGGGGTGCTTTCCTGCTAGAATTGAGCTTTGGGGAAGTGGGTTTTGTTTAAAATGATGCTCAGGAAAAGGGGTTAGTTGGGTTAGTTGGTTGTGGAGGCGACTGCTCCTCATCAGCTGAGGACGTCGCTGCTTTTCTTCCCGCCCCCCTTTTTGGCACCTCTGCTTCCTCCCCTTTTCCACTAGCGGCTTCCCCCTTTTCCTGACGTTTTGTACCACTTAGCAGTAGCTAAATCCTGTTTCATTCCCAAATTTCATCTCGGGGAGGCGAGGGCTCGTTGCCCGGCTTGCTGCAATACCTAACGAAGGCGGAGGGCACTGGGGTGCCTTTGTGCTCAGCGGGAAAGCGGCGCTGGGAAGCATCCCGTGCGGAGAGCGGAGCCTCCTCCGTGTTTCCGAGCTCTCCGGGTGCCGCTCCAAGCCCTGTAGCCACGGCAGAGGGTTGCAGCACGATTCCTTCTTCCCGACACATGCAAAATCTGTCAGCGATTCTTGGTTTGCCTCTCTGCAGGTGCCCAAATCTCAGTCCATAGCGACCCAGGACACGGGAGGTGGCCGGGCTGACCCCTGCGGAGCTTTTCCTGCTTTTCCTTCCTTTTCCTTTCCGTTTTAGGGAAGCAGCCTTGGAAATGGCAGCAGGGGGTGGCAGCAGGGGGCAGG